CCCCCCACCTCCACCCCCCAGGACACTTCTCCCAGCTTTTCAGGGAAGGACACAGTTATGGACTCAGCAGTCCTGGGGGATCCAGCTTAGCCTTCTCATAGCAGCTTCCTGGATCTTTTTCATATGAATAGTCCCTCTCAGCATAACTTGCACTGGGGAAGGTGCTGGTGCCTCGCTGGAAGGAAACATGATGCTGTTAATTGATTCAAGAAGTGTGTCTCTGGTGTGAGAATATTCAGTGCAGCTTCTTGGAGCATTTTCTTCAGAGAATGAGACTGGCACTGTGGCCTGGATTTGTGGGCTATAGGAAAAATTGATTGTCTCTCTTTGAAAGGCATTTAACAGCTCAGCTTCATGTTGTTTAACAGTGAACCCTCTGCACTTTCAAAGGAGAGGATGGGGAGGGAAATGATACAGGCCATTTTTTTTTTCATTTAACCTTTTTTTTCTGTGTAAGATTCAGTTTCAGTTCTGGGCAACCACTATCTTCATTTTTACATTTCTCTCATTTCTAGGATAATAAAGATAGACCGCTATATGGTTGGGGGAGGTGTTTCTAGCAAGAGCTCAAACATGTAGGATATTAATACTAGTTGGGAAAAGTTTAACTTGCTTTTGATTACTCCTTGGAATTTCTGTTGTGAAAAAAACAAACAAGAAAACACCTCCCCTAAATATTTTATGTGACATATAAGCTTTAAGAGGTGCAGGTCAATTCTCCTCCTATCCCCAGACACAGTCAAATCTTTTTTTTTTTTTCCCAGAGAGGAACAGAATGTATAAGTATTTAACATTTTTGTACCTTGAGATGCCCCAGTAAGCAGATGTGAGTAAATGTGCAATGAAATTGAAGACATATCTCTTATCAGACTTGCTGTACTCTTGTTCTCACTAGATATTTCCGAAATTGAGTCAAACCGATCAAGTTCCCCTCAAGAGGACCAAAAGTTGCATCACTCTGACTTTGACTCTCATTCGTCTAATGAAAAACTAAAGGAAAAGCCAAAGTAAGAAGTGCTACTCTTCTTTTTCTTACTAAAGAAAACATTTTAATGTGTACCAAGTTTTTGTTTTAATGTTTTCAATTGATTGTTCTTTTTATTAAGTACAAACGAGGATCCACCAAACAGGTTGTCGAAGATGGGAGCAACGCCCACACCTTTTAAATCAACGAGTGAGATAGCTGCTGCTGTCGCTGTCATGGCCACTGACACAAACAAAGAACCAAAGTACAAAGAGGACCTGTCAGGTCAGAGTTAAATGTCCCATTTGAGATTTTTTTTTTTTCCCCCTGCAAATAAAACCTGTTAGATGGGGGAGAGGGAAATTCCAAAGGGTATAAACCCTTGTGCTTCAGGAAATTAGCCAAACACTGACTGGAAGGTGTTAGGAAAACATTTTTCCTGGGGCCTTTCCGATGATTCCATAATTGTTCATTACAGGATGTTTTGCATTTTCCTCACCTGGTCCTAACCACTGTCAGAGATGAGATGTTGGACTAGATGGACCATGGGTCTGATTTGGCATGGCAATTCCTGTGCAGAGCTGCCTAAGTTTTTTCTTATCTATAATAAAGAACTAAATAACCAAGTCTTTATTCCATTGAAAAGAGAAGAGGGGAGAGAGCTAAAGATAAGCACAAAGGTTAAATGTAGCTGAGTGCTCTTTATCTTCAGAAGTGAATCTATATAATTGTACTGACAAAATCCTGGCTCTGTTATCTCCCAGGAAGGTAGGCTCTGAAGGCCTCTCTTATCCACATCTTCCCCAGCTGATTTACAGTTGGCACTGATGGGCTCAGAGGGAACTCACATCCAACGTCCTTGATTGGTAGGCTGACTGGCTTTTGGGGACACCTAAAAGAGGACAATTGGAGCAAGATATTGAATAACCGGTTCCTGACGGATAAAACTGGGGGAGGGAACCCATTTTAGAAGGATTACATGCTTGACTAGGAGATGAGTCTGAGATCATAAATTAATTCACTGCCTTGACATTTGTTCTTTAGCTGCTTTTTACTTTGGATACTGCAGAGCTGCGCTCTTTGGTGGCGTATTTGATATTGTTGTAATTGCTGCCTTTAACTGAAAAGCTTTCATTCTTTTATGTCTTGTTTCATCCAGTTAGATAATTTTCTGGTTTTTACATACAGTGTCTCAACCAAAAGTTGCCCCAAGAACTTTTCTTCAGCCTAGTCCTGAAGATGAAGCAATATACGGGTATGCTTCTTTCAAAATCTGTTGTTGTTTTTTTTTTCTCACCATCTATCCATATTTTTGTTGTTGCTGCTGCTTTGGGCTGGTTTCTTCATGCATTTGTAGAGGTTCTCCCCTAAATAGTCTTATGCCAAGAAAAGATAAGTTGGTTTCTGTGTTAAATAGCTGACTAACAACATAACATCTAAGATCAATTTAGTTCTAAAAAGGAGGCCTAATATATGTGCAGTAGATACATGCCCCTGTATTTATATGTACAGTCTCTGATTTTATAGACTGAGGGATCATAAATGCTGCTACAGGTTGGACCTCCTGGTCCGGCACCCTGGGGACCTGACCGGTCCCAAAAGAGGGAGCTTGCCAGATGAAAGGAGGTTAATTCCGCCCCTGTGCTGACTAACTCTGGACTCTCCCAGGGTCCGTCAGCAGACCCAGAAGAGCTCCCCTCTTGGACGTAGGGCTTCCCAACCCCCCGCTGCCAGATTCCTGGCTCCACAGCCTGCCCAGGGTCACTGGGGCTCCACTACTCTGAGGTTGTTGAGGTGGTGGGGCTCCAATGCTGCTCTGGAGCGGCAGGACGCCACCGGGGCCTGGATCGCTCCCTGCCACTGGGCTCTTTGATCCAGGAAAATCCTGCCGGACCATGGATGTTTCTGGACCAGAGAGGTTCCACCTGTAGTTAAATACCACCTTCCTTTGCAATTTGCATGTACGATCACAGTAATTTCACTTGCAAATGTATCTTTGTGCATGGGCCTTGGACCTCCTCTTCTGTTGTAAACTATGGTCTCTAATATCCAAAAATATGAGCTACAAAGAGAAACATAATCTATAAAAAGGGCATGATAACTTTGGAAAAAAATGTTAGAGGCTGGATCATTGTAAATTAAGGCCTTGGGTGATTGTGTGTGCATGCCTTCTTTTGCACAGACCCATGCCACAGTTGTGTATGCACAAGCTGGAGGTTTTTGCAATAAATATGTATTCTCTAAATCCTTGGTTAGTGTATGTAATCCACACACCTACTGGATGTGGTGTATTGTCCCATCTAGTGACAATGAGACCACTTAGACAATATTATGAACTTTTAGCTCATGCAGTAGAGGCCCATGCACTAAGCTCCATAAGTCTCAGGTTCGATTCTGCCCATCGGTGTTACATGTACTCTATGCAGCTATGGAATCTGCATAATGAAAAGTAGGAACAGAATGTCTGTTCACCTGGCACCTGATATTTTAATCTCCTCTCAAATTAAAGGCGATAATGTTGATCTTTTGCGCTTAAGACTTTCTAGAACCCGATAGCTGAAATCAGTAAGGTGGTTTATTGGAATACAACCTGAACACCTTCTTTTCTTTATGTAAATTATGAAATGGGGAAATGGGCTGGTGTTGGGGACACAGTAATAAATCAGTTGGCGATTTGGAGTGCAGGAGTAAGCCCTAAAGAAGGGGAATCTGAGATCTGTTTATTCCGTAGCTCCAGCAGAGAGTGGGTTTAACAATCTGAGAACTGGTTAACCTCTTGAAAGGCCGTCTCAGAGTCAAGTCCTGTGTATTACAGATATGGATACAAATTGATACATCAGCGTTTAGTTCTGGTTCAGTTGAAGAGAATTAATGGTCCAGGTGCTGACTGGTATGTTGAGTGAATCATAACAGAAAGGCAGTGTCCTCCAAGTATTTAAAGGTCATCCAGCATTTCTGGCAAAGAAAAAACTGAACTTACTCCATTACTTCCTGGTCTCCTTGGAAGAAGAGAGGTTTGGTTTTATTTACCAATTGGGCATTCTTGACACGCTGCCAGCAGAAGAGAGTCTGAAAACTTCCATCTTCTCTGACTCTCTTATTAATTACCTGGTAGATAGTACACTGCATTCTGCATAATGTGAAGAGGAAAAAATCTGTGTGATTACTCATAATTCATTGAAATTCATCTCCTTTAAAGCAGCTGTTTCTGTGAGGCAGATGGTCTAGTGATTAGGGCGCTAGCTAAGGACTGAAAAGGCCTGGATTCAATTCCCAGTTATACCACAGTCATTCTCCGTAACCTGGGGCAAGTCACATAGCCTCTCTATACCTCAGTTCCCCATCTGTGCAGTGGGGATAATAACGCTACCCTGCCTCACAGGGGTACCGTGAGGAAATGTACAAAAAAGGCTGATGCTCAGATAGTACAGTGATGGGTCCATGGAAGTACCATAGAGGGAGTGACAGCAAGCTTTACTTCCTACAAATAATTGATGTCATATGCATAATATTGGGCTCCTTTTTTTTCTCTCTTTCTGCATGTGAATGCTCTAGTCCTAATACGAAGATGATAAAGTTCAAGAAAGGAGATAGTGTGGGTCTCCGGCTGGCAGGTGGGAATGATGTAGGGATATTTGTTGCTGGAATTCAAGAAGGCACTTCAGCTGAACAGGAGGGGCTGCAGGAAGGAGATCAGATTCTGAAGGTATCAGTGTAAAAATGTTCAATCCTGCAACTAAAACTGCTTGTTCCTTGATACCATGTGAAAGAAATTGCTTTCTTTACTTTAATCAATATTGAAAAACCATAAAATCCGTGCTACTTTATTCCTAGGGACAAGGCCACTCTGCCTAGGAGCATGATTTTTTGTTAATCTGAATTCTTATTAAATTTCAACAGCAGAAGTAAAATTCAGTAGGAGAAATAGTTGGTATAAATGTTACACAACATGAATGCCTAAAGATGGAAGTGGATACACTCAGTAGTGACTTCTCCACCCTCCAGCTCAGAGACCAGACCACAGAGCCTCTTTATCCATTTAGGTTTTGTCTTTGTGACCTCAATATTTCCTCCCTACCTTTATACACAGACACAGACACACCCACCCACCCCCCTCTTCTATTGCGGCTCTCCTCTTTCTGTCTGTCATGTCATCCTCCTGAGTTTGGGCCTGATCCCAAAGTGCTCTGAAGTCAGTAAAGATTTGAACTGACTTCAGCGGGGTCTGTCTCAGTCCCTCTTTTTCCTGCTTCTTGTGTTTTCCTCTCTCCAACCAACTGCTGGCATGGGCAGATTTTGAAATAGTAACTCCTTTTCTGAAGTGTAGATTCTCCTTTCCTGTCTCGTTTTTCCTCTTGCAGTTAGACTCTGATTAGCCCAAACACCTTGCCCTGGGAGCTCCTGCACTCATAATTGTTCCAAGGGAATGGACCTCGCTTTCATGTCCAAATAAACAACTGAGACACACAGGGGAAGGAGGGAGGGTGTGGGAAGTGGAGAGGCAACCACAGAAAGCCATGCTGTGCTCACAACTCTAGGGGCACTCCGGAGGTCGTTCTTCTGGCATTAGATTTAGCGGGTGTAGTATAGATGCATAAATTGAATGCTGAGGGCAGCTCCTGCTGACATCCAGTACTCCTCTTTATTGCAAGGAGTAACGGAAGCTGATGGGAGTGTTTTGCTGCTGTCGGCCTCCCGTAGTGTGGATGCTACCAAGGCTCCGCTTAAGGAAAGTCGACTCCGGCTACACATTTCATAGCTGGAGTTGTGTACATTAAGCCAACTTGTCTGGCCTTGTGTAGACCAAGTCTAGGTGACCAGACAGTGTCTGGATGATACTGAAACTAGCATACAACCTTATGATGAATTGGAGCACACTAGTGCATCTAATTACTTGAAGTTCTTGGATCACTTAGCATAGCTGTTCTTTAGCAACCCAAGGACCCCCATTTTGATTTAAAAATATTTGGGACCCTCCCTACTCCTTCTCTAAGACCCTGCCCCTTCATCCCTCCTCCCTCTGTCGCTCACTCATTTTCACAGGGATGTCAGGAGTTTGGGGTGAAAGAGTAGTGTGGGCTCTGGAGTGGGGCTGGGAAAGAGGGGTTTGGGATGTGGGAGGAGACTTCAGGCTGGGGTGGCATGATGTTGGGTGAGGGCTCTGGCTGGGAATTCAGGCTCTGTGGTGAGACTAGGGATTGAGGTGCCTAGGTGAGAGGTGTGGGATCCAGGAGAGAGTTTGGTGCAGGGTAGCCCCAGGGTTGGGATGCAGGGTGACGCTTACTTCAGCTCCCAGAAGCATCTATAAGGTCTCTGCAGGCCCTAAGTGTAGGGGAGACTGGGGAGGCTCTGCGTGCCACCTCTGCAGCTCCCATTGGCCATGCTTCATGGCCAATAGGAACCGCAGAGCTGGCACTCAGGCAGGGCTCCGCACACAGAGCCTCCCTGGTCTCCCCTGTACCTAAGGGTGTAGAGACCTGGCAGCCGCTTCTGGAGGCTGTGTGGAACCAAAGCAGGTGGGCAGCCTGCATTTGCTGTGGGCCACAGGGAGCACTGGGAGGGTGGGGGAAGAGTTAATCAGCGGGGCCACAGACCCCTTGGAGTTTCCCTCACGGACCACTAGGAGTCTACGGACCTCAATTTGAGAAACGTTGACTTACTCAATAGTATTCTTGGAATAGGTGGGATTTTAACTACAGAATATATATAACTACAGGGCATTCTATGTGAAAATAAATATAACCTTAATTGGAAATGGGCCTTTATTATGCACGTTAGCCATCTGTGCTCATGTTCAGGTATTTGATAGCTGTTCACAGAGTGCCCCTAACAGCAGGGTGCTCTCAGGATGTCACTCTTAGTTATAGGCAGTCTATCTTCTCCATACCTCCCATCGTGTACTTTGCAATAAACCTCTATATTGTGATGGTTTTTAAATGATAATAAAACAGCCTCTTCCTTTCCTCTTCTAGGAATGTACAGGCAGTCCCCGAGTTACGCGGATCCGACTTATGTCGGATCCGCACTTACAAACGGGGCTTTTCTCGCCCCAGAACTCGTGGGCGGTGGGACGACCCAGACGTGCAGTGGTCCCGTCACCGCATCCTCCGGGGCGAGAAAAGCTGCTCCGGGTTTCCCTGGTCTGCTGGGGGGGTCCCTAGCAGACCAGGGACACCCCGAGCAAACCCTTGGAGGTGCGGGACCCTGCCGCCTCTGAGGCTTTGCTCGGGGCGTCCCCGGGGC